GGAGCACACAAAATTCTGTTCCATGCCATGAAATGTTCTTCATTCTGCCCTGAACTCTGATATGGAACCAGAACAAGAGCTTTAAACATCATTCTGTGAAAACATGGCATCTAGGAACTAACAGGTTTTTATTTAATTGGAGAATTTATGCATACTCATTTCTTTTTTGGAGCAACCCTGTTAATACCAGCTGTCTTTCTAGAGTCCCTTCTCTGGTGGCAAGCAGGAATCAGCTTCAAGCAGCTTTTCTTGATATCGACACGTGCTTGAATATTGCAGGGGCTTTCCTTCTTTGTCTGAATGTTAATACTGTTTAGGCAAGGGACAGGACTGAGGGAGAGCACAAGAGCATAGGTGGGGAGTTCCCTGCAGGCAATGAGCCACTCTCTGTGCCCACAGGGGACAGAGCAAGCACGCTTCAGCACAGCAAAGGAGCTTCAGTTAAGTGAGTAACCAACGTTTTCTAACTATCTATAAGTAATCTGTTCTGACAGCTAAACTGGTTTGCAGAACACACACCACTGAAAGCTCTGAAGAACAGGTTACACCAGCATTCCCCAGGAACGTCACTGTACTGCTGTATGCAGTCATTTCCTGAGGGAACCCCCCTGATCTGACCAGGTCCTTGGGGCAGACATGGAGCAGGCATGAGCTGCTATCCCCCCACCTTCACCTCAGCAGCTCTGAAGTACTAACCTAGCATTCCTTCTTGCTGCACCACCTCCCCTTTCATAAAATAAAACTTCTACATATTAACATGACTAACAAATATTTTGCAGATTAAATCAAACAGCCATTCCAGAATGCTGCACATTGCTGCAGGAAGCTGCTTTTACAGTTCTCCTTTAACACCTCTTCTAGCGATGCTGCTATTTTGGTAAAGTTTGTGAGCAGAGATACAGAGCATGACCCAATGTTTTTTTTCTAGAAATGTGTCTTCACAACAATGATAAAGTTTTTGTTTTGTCTGGCAGTTGTAAATACTCACACTTCTAGCAATCTCCTCAAACCTTTAGCGCTAGCTTTACACATGGCTGAAGTACAGGTGCCTGGGCAACGCTTTCCACCAAAATAAATTTTTAAAAACCTCAAACAAAACCAAAATCCTGTGTTTTGTTTTCCTATTTCTTTAATTTTCTTTTAAAAATGTTTCACGTTTCACATGGACTTAGGGAAGATTAAGCTATTAGCAGTTATTAACAAAGTGAGATAGTCAGAAATACAAAAAAAAATAAAAAAAGCCTACCACCTCTCCTCCTCCCTCTTGATCTTCTTCCCAGGCCAAATTTCAGTCCTGATTCTTTTATCTCCTCCTCCCACCTTGAATAGTGCAGGGGAGTGGGAAATGAGGGTTGCAGTCAATTTGTAACACTCGATCTCTCCCACTCCTTGAATTTCCTGTATTTCTCCCACTCTGGTCCCCCATGGGCCACAGCTCTGGCCACAAACACTGCTCGTGCACGTGCTCGTCCACAGCTCCTGCCAGAGAACTTGCTCCAGCATGGGCTCTCCCCAGGCTGCACCTTCCTTCAGGGCACATCCACCTGCTCCAGCCTAGGGTCCTCCACAGGCTGCAAGTGGACATCTGCTCCACCATTAACCTCCATGGAATGCAGGGAGACAGCCAGCATGACCCTGGTCTCTGCCCTGGGCTGCAGGGGAATCTACGCTCTGGCACCCAAAACATCTTCTCCCCCTCCTCCTTCCCTGACCTTAGTGTCTGCAGGAATGTTACTTTCTCTTCCCCTCCCTCCTCTCAAAGCTGCTGTGCAGCATTTTCTACCCTTTCCTCAATATCCCACCAAGTGCCACCAACACTGTCGACCAGCTCGGCTTTGGCAGGTGTCAGCCCCACCTTGGAGCTGGCTGGAACCGATTCTGTCTGACGTGGGGACATCACCTGCTGTCTTCTTAGAGCAGCCACCACTCCAGCTACTAAAATCTTGCCATGTAAACCAAAGAACTTCAAAAAAGCAGACGTCTCCTTCAAAAAGCATTTTGTCAAGTACCCTTTATTCATCTACAATGAATGTGTCTTACTTATTGGAATATGTACTACTTCTGTAATAATTACTGCAATTAAATTCTAGAAAACACTATGCTTACTATATACTAGAGCATAATACACATTTCATGCTTCTTAGAATGGTAGTTTTCTTCTACTTGTAGTTTACTTTTTTTTTTAATAATAAATAACTCTAAATACTGGTGTTATAACTAATTTTCTTCTTCCCTTTTCAATCTTTAATTTACCTTGGTAAAGTTTTTTTGTTTCAGTGTTTCACTAGTTGTTTTCCTTCACTCTGTGTTTGCCCACACTCACACTTGCTGCAAAGCTGTGGTCAACCCAAATGGAAGCTGATGAACTACTTCACCTGGTTTCATCTGCCCACCCTGGTCACACTGAGCACACCACTGCCAGATCTCTGTCAAAGGGAGATATTTTAACCAAGTAATGAAAAAAAGAAAACCACTGTACTGCTGTATGACAGTTTTATTTTTCCAATGAAATGCCCCAGCATCACAAAATAGAACACATTTTCTAATCTTGAAGCCAGCAAGATTGGGGGGGAAAAAAGGAGGATCTAAATTGATTTTCCAATACATAATTTCCATACTGAGACTACAATCAGAGAAAAACCCCTAGAATTAAAATGTAAGCAGCCATTACTTTTGCAGCTCTCTTCTTAAACATGACCTGGACATGTCATACAACACACATATGGTACTTTGCTAGTATAATATGCTACAAATAGAATTATTCAAATGCAACTATGCAGCTTTTCTATTACCTAAGACCTCCTCATTATTATGTTGCAACACTTGTATTATTTACTTCACACTTTGTTACCAGAACAGAAGGATCTTTTCTCCTTTTGTGGTGGATTGTTTCTCTGAAAGGGGCCTTCCCTGTGGCTTTCTTTGGAACAAGGGAGCACTCAGTTTCAGGTGTTATAAACATTGAAAGCATTTCCATATACATTCACAATGAGATTAAGCCTCCATTTTTCAAGTAAAGGTTCTCATCACTGGTAAACTGATGGAGAGAGCCAGTTAGTATTTACTCCTGTCCTCATGTGAGAACATGGCCTGGTTGGCTGTGTGCCTCATAACTGCCCTCATCTCTTGTTAAGGCGTGTGCACCACCACGTCCTGCACAAGAACAGCAGGAACTTGCAGTCAGGATTCTCACAGTATTAATGGCTAGACCATGATAACTGTAGCAGTTTTTAAACAAATGACACTTTCAAAAAATATTTGCAATCGCAGAACTGCATAATCTCATTTTCAATGGGCTTCTTAATTCAAAAGTACTATTTCACTTATTACACATGGCTTTAAAAATACAGTATACATAACACTTTGTGTTACAAATGTCTGAAAAACATTGGAGCCATCAACATTTCAACTCCTTACATTAATAAGGAAAGTAAACAGCAGCATTTTGGAGGAGTATTCAAGTATTTCCCTGAAATACTATATAACAAAAAACAGATCCTACACTTCGTATGACTGTACTTTAGGCAAATATAATTTGCAAGTGCTTTTTTTTTGTTATATAGAACAGTATGACTAATACTTTGTAACAAAGATCTAGCACAGCATTTTGATATGACATACTAAACTGGAATGTAAGAAAACCAAATAAAAATAAAAAAAAAACCAACAAACCTCTGTCATTTATAATAGTTTTCAAGTGCTTCAGTAATAAAATGACCAATCACCATGGCTTACACAGACCAAATACATGAGACATACAAAGCTAGTAAAAGCTGAGTGACAGAAGTACCAGCAAATGCACATGAATAGAGAATCATTAGCTGTTCAGACAAAAAAGAAAATGCTCAGATGCAATAAACTCTGAAAAGAACTAAACAGCTAGGAAAAGACAGAAGCGAGCAGGGGCTAACTTCTGATCCTCAAACAGGAACAGGTCTGTACAGGAGTAACAAAATTTAGCCCCAAGCCTACACACAGAACACTTATGTGCCACAAAACACAAATGCATACACAGCTTAAATAATCACACCATACCTATATAGGCTAGTCTCCTTTTTTTTGCTATAAAAACAAATCAGCACAGTGAATTCACTATTTATCAGATGCCAGTTTCTTCCCTCGACTTCACAAATCAAATTATTTTGTTTCAATATTTGAATAAACATTATGTAAAAAACTTTTTTTAAACTTAACATTCCATCATCTTATTTTGAGAAGACATTATAACATTTGTAGTCCAATCTCCAAAGAATTGTGTATTGAAGAGGGAAGCTTTTCATCTGTTAATTTTAGATGTTTTTTAAAAATAAAACTTGCTGGTGTTTCAGAAGATATTTATATTTTCCTTTGTGCCTTCCTGGTATTATGTAAGTATTCCTTCGAGTTGCTTGCAAGACATTTTCAGTTGCAGTGTATGGTATTTGGTATCATTCAAACAGTCATAAAACCCTTTGTAAGCCCAAAAAGCATCATGCAAGGAAGCCTTTATAAATAGAATGTATAGGATTAAGGTATGACCTGTATAGAGATGTGCTTTTATTTTTAGAAGTATTTCCAAACTCTTATTGTTATTACTTAAAGCCAGGAATGTGTGTTTGAATTGCATTGATAAGTTGCAAGGTATAGTCAGAATTACAAAATGAAACATTTTACTAAAAAAAAAGCTTCAAATGACAACACTGTTGTCCAGCATTTAAGCCACAAGCGACTACATAACACTTCCCAAAGAAAAGATCTTCTCAGGCACTGAAAATAGCTTGTCATGATACCTTGGTTTGATGACAATGGCAAGCCCAATGTTTTATAACATTTGGATATTATTGCAACATAACTGCTGTATTAGCTCTCTAGAAAAGCACAGAGAATTTATCAGTTATTGTGAATACATATATATGCCAGCCCTCTCTTTTCTAACATAACTTAGGATTACATTGCTCCAAGATATATTTTTATGATTGCAATGTTTTTTTAAAAAATGACACAATGCAACATGATGTCCAAAATTATACTGAAGCCATCAGAAAAAAAAAAAAAAATCTAAAATTTTAAAATACTTGTCAATTTGACTAAAATGCATGTTTACTCAATTTCCTTGAGCTTTTATGGTTTCTTCTCCCCACTGGAGGAACAATGTCTATAGTAATTGTTCAACGCTACTCTGGCTGTAGGCAGCTTCACCTTTACAATTTTCTTCAATTCCTCTTGCAAAAAGTTTCATCAACTGGCAGTGAACCCTGAAAAATATGGAAATCAGTTAATAAGAAATGAATGGGTACTACATATTTAATTCTAATAATCCATTAATTCCAAGCAGTTGGACAAAGTTCCTTGCTCCAGACTACAGAACCCGTGCTCTCCTCCTTGACACAATACTCCCCTGCAAAGAAGGCTGGATGCTTTTATTTATCCCTCACTCCTGCTACTCCTCTTTTACACACAAAAATTGGTATGAAGCACTTAAAGGAGCTGATTGTACACAACACACAGTATTTACCAAAATCACTTTGGACTGCTAAGTGATGAGGTTTTAATGGAACGCACTTGCACGTAGATATTTTGCATTGTGGTTTTGGTTCCCTTTGTTCTAAAAGCAACACAAAATAAAAACCCTTTCAAAGTTCACAAACCTCTATTCCCTTCTAATCTAATTATTAGCACGACTTCAAACTTATTTCTCCATATGCCAAGGCTGGAAATAAGACTCTGTACTGTGTGTCAACAAACACAAAGTATGGAACACACTCAATATTTCTGTAAGATAAACATGCTTGCTTAAGCTTAAGAGGAAAAGCTATTGCTCTGAGTCATGAGATACTCCACTCAAAATAAAAAACAATTGTCCTAACATCACCTTCTGCACTGCCAAACACATAATAACCATTCCTAAGAAGAATATGACTTCAAAGGCAGGGCCATCCATCTATCTCAGAGTGCTCATTTACAATATACATGGTTGATGGCTGGAGTATTCTCTGGCAAGAAGTCAAAAAAGTAAAAAAAAAAAAATTAATTTTATTAATAGGAAACTTAAATTTGCTAATCAGGCACCTTTTTGGGATTTCTTTATGAGCAGCTCTGAAATCAATTAAAAGGCTTAATATTTTCTGGTATATGGAGAGAAAAATCAATGCTTACCTCACTTCAATTGCTGAGCTGTCCAGAGTTTCTCCATCACAATTCCAGGTGCTGTGAGCAATATGACAGCAACAGGCTGGATGGTCTCTGCAGAACTGGCCAAAGCGTTTCTTTCCCATGTCTGTGACACTGCTTTCATTGTCTTCTGAGAGCTTGGATGTAAACTGAAAGCCCTTCACTCGATAAACATCTACAAAGGAGAAGTCAAACTACAAAGGAAAAGAAGAATTAAAACAGGCAATTACAATTAGCTAAATACATTTGATATGCAAAGCAACTCAGCATGTGGCATTTAGTATTCAAGAAAGTCTGGCTACTCCAGTTTTCTGGAGAAGGTTACCTGAGGCAATAAAGCCAAAATGGAACCTTGCTTTTCAATGGTTCTCATCAAGTAGCTACAATATTGCCACTGTATAGATAAACAGGTAACAGGTTCTGAGATTATGAGTAAATAAGGTGCAAAATCAATTCAAAATACCATTTAAAATTTATTATAACATGGAACGAAAGTCAAAAAGGTTTGGATTCCATCTTTGTACCACCCTCAACTATAGTCCTGATGACACACGGGCTTTCCCAAAAGCCTTCTGCTTCTGCATTTGGAATAATAACCTGAAGGGGAGAATCCAGTGACAGTGTGAACATATCACAGAGCTGGGCGTGTAAAAAATAAGAACAGAGGGCAATACTTCATTTCAACAAAATTAATATAATTTATCTAGTTAATTCAGCTAGAAAAAGTAGGACAATTAAGAGATTGCTCTAATAACAGAGGTTGAAGCTTTACACAATATTGTACAAATGCTTTAAAATAGCCTTTGTGAATTAAAGGAATGATCAAATTAGAGGGTTCCCCAACCTGCCCTGAAAGCAACTTAATTGACTTATGGACTTAAACATTATGGAAAGCTGTAATAAATACAGACATGTCATTTAGCAAAGGCAGAGGAGTATGTCTGTGTGCAGCTATGGGAGGGGGATGCCAAGGAAGCAAAAGTGAACAAAAACAGTTTACCCACAATCCAGTCTGTATTAATGCACAGCCAACCTTTTTCATTTCATGTTTTCTTACATGTTTTCAAGTTTTCAATCAGGATTTCCCACTATTCTGGTAGACACTAACCTGAGGTGAGGACATATGTACAACTTTGCATTTCACCTACACTGCAAAACCAACACATCACAGAGAGAAACAGGGAGGGAAGCACTGGAAGGGGAATGGCCACACTGACAATCACAAACAACATCACAGTTGAAGGGACCTCCTAGGCCTTAAGTTCCTTCAGCTTTTAACCACAGACAAACTGTGAAGTTGTCAAACTTCAGCACTTGGAAGCAGTGACCCTGGGATACAAGGCTCCCTAAGCAGTGTGCTAGTTTGAACTGCTTGGCTCCAAAGAATGGTCTCCACAGCTGCACAGAACCACCCGTGGCTCACGCCTCAGCAGGTTATAGCCTCTTTGTAACTGCTGAAATCAATTAGAAAGGTAGCCAGGGAAGGCTTCGAGTAATCAAAAATATCAAGGGAACAATGAGACTGAGCAGGAAGGAGGGAAGGGAAGAATAGGGGACTGAGAACAGCAGGAAGGAGGAATACAGACACACACAGACACAGTGTCCCTGGGAATGGTAATGAGAACATGCAGGAAAAAGAATCTGTGCTAATTCTTCTACAGAGAAGAAAAAACAGCATCATAAACAAGTGAGGTTTACTGTTGCTTTTATAACCAGATATGACATTACTCCACTGTTCAAATAATTTCCAGAACACATTAATAATATGAGGCTGTGACAAATATTAAACCTGTATGTTCACAGCCATAGCTCTGGTTGCAACAGATACTACAATCCAAAGCAATGATGAATCTTCCCTTGTAGCTTATCCTGACAGCCACACACGTGCAAGGAATAATTCTGAAGCTGAATGCATATCCTCACAAGCTCATAAGCTCATATCCTGGTCTATATCCATACTACACATGTAGTAAAATTCTGCCCAAAGCCTGCAGTTTAAAATCAGACTGCAGTTCTGCTAACTTTCTTCTAAATAGCATTTTTATACAGTTTACAAGAAGTGATTTATTGTTCTTCACTACATCTTCTACTTCAGCTACTTTATACTGCTGTAAGCAGCTTTTCATGATAAATACATGGGGGCACAGTTGTGATAAAATAACTTTCAATATTGTCCAAACAGTAAATATATAGAAAATGTTAGGTAATTTAATTAGCAAAAGGAGAATTTTGTTAGAAAGCTATGGCCAAAGACTTGACTTCACTACTTTTTTCCTTTGGTACAACTGCTGAGATTATGTCACCTAAAATGTATGAACTTTTTTAAAAAGATAAAAGCAAAAAACCTGCTTTGTAGATGTTCTTTTTGTCATATAAGACTATTGATATTTACAAGTTAGACTGACTCTGGAGAAATCATTGTTGAAAGGAATACACACCTGATCATGTTGGTTTGTATGTCTGACAAGATACCGGAGAAAATTGAGCCTGGAGCATTTCCGAACGAGAATGAGGTCAGCTGAACCATCTGCCAAGTGAGCTGCTGGTGAAAGACCCTTTGGACTTCGTGGACAGGCACAGCTCATATTTACTGCATTGATGGCTAGAAACTTTCCTTTAATAACCTTCCATTCCTCTTCATCTTCTGAAACAAACACATCAATAAAGGTGCAGAGGCAGGTTACTATTTGGTCTGCTCACAGGAACACGAACAATCATTCCTGGCAAATTAGAATTCATGCACAGTTAATAA